CCACATAGTCCCCCCGAGGCTGCAGCATCTGGAGTACCACTGGGGGCTGGTCTCGGGCCCACAGGAGAAGCCGAGCTCCCAGACCAAATGAAGGGCCTTTGTGACCACTACCCACCTCAGTCCCTCCACCAGGCCTTGCCTCCTGGTTGATACCCCCAGCCCACCGCCTCTCACCCACTGGAGCCACCAGCCCACATTCTGTCACCCTGAGGCCAGAGCCCCATGGATTTTCGGAATGAGACGACACGACTTGGGCCCTGAAAAGCCCCCTAGCCTGGCTGATGGTGGGGGAGGGGACTGTGCAGTCTTTCACACCATGGCTGCCCGGTGCTCCCCTCACCCCACTCCGACCTCATCCTAAGTGTCCTGCGTCCTGTCCTAGACACATCACTGTCCCCGGGGTGCAGAGACCCAAATGCAGGATTGGGTGGCTGAGCTCCTTCAGTCATCAGGGTGACTGCAGGGAAGGCGTCCCCAGGGGGGCTTTGCCAATGCCTTTGATGTTCCTGCACTTTCTGTCCCCACTGGGATGTGAGGGACTGAGCTGGGTCAGCCACTAGCTCACATCTGAGCAGGGAGGGTGGGGAAAGGGTCTCAGAGCCCAGTCTGTGCACCACCTGCTCAGGGACCTGGCTGTCCAGCAGTCTGTCATCTCAGAGTGCCATTCCCTGGGAGATGGGGTAGCCCCCTCAGTAAACCACTGCAAACCCTCTCGGTGGGTAGAGGGATCCTGATGTCTAGGCCCACCCTGCCGGCAGGCACTCCAGTGGCCCCATGGCTCCGTCCTGGGCTTGCATCTGCACTCATGCTTAAGGATGTTGCACTTGAATTAAAATGTGAGTGTTGACGAGCAGCCTCAGCCATGTTCCTGCAGCCTGTGGGCCTGGATGGAGCACTGCTGCTGCTTCCTCGCCCGTTCATCAGCTGGCCTTCTCCTTTGTCAGTCCAGTCCTTTTGCTTTCACGTTTGGTGTGTTACCTGCCCCCTGGGAGGAAGAAGCAGGTCATTTCCATTTCTGGTGCATGTTTGAGAACCAAGCAGCCAGGTGTCTTTTCTGACCCTCCACGGCAGGTGCACCAGTGCATCTGTGGCCCCTAGCCTCTGTCTTCTAATCTCAGGCACTTCTAGGTCTGGAGAGTTACAGGGAGGGTCCGTGCGCTGAGACTGGCTGTCTCCCGTGGGCCTGGTGCCAGGAGGAACATGCTTAGTCACAGGGGAATGAAGATGATGAGAAACAAGGATCTTGACTTTAAAAATCACCCCCATTTCAGGGCCGGCCTGGGGGCACAGTGGTTAAGCTCGTACATTCCGCTTCTTGGCAGCCCAGGGTTCACCAGTTCGGATCCCGGGTGCAGACATGGCACCGCTTGGCAAAAAGCCATGCTGTGGTAGGCATCCCATGTATAAAAGTAGAGGAAGATGGGCATGGATGTTAGCTCAGGGCCAGTCTTCCTCAGCAAAAAGAGGAGGATTGGCAATAGTTAGCTCAGGGCTAATCTTCCTCAAAAAAAAAAAAATCACCCCATTTCAATAAAATTTTACCTGAAGTTAGTTAGGAAAATAAATCCTTTGTTGAAGAGTGAAGTTTTAAAATGTTTTCTCAGATATATAAATTTTGTTGTTAAAGGCAGTCCTGCGGTTGCCCAAATGACAACACATTGAATTCACAGTTCAGCAAAATGGTGATTAAATGCTTTTACACCAGAACTGGATCAGCCATTCCACTAACCAATGTTTAACACATAATCACATTCTAAGACACATAAGATTTATGATCAAGTACGAGGCAAAGGTCCTTCGTCTGAAGTCAGCCCATCTCTGTGTGTGTGCGTTTGGTTGAAATGGGAATCCTGAGTTATATAAGGAGAAGAAATAAGTCCTTTACTGACAGCAAGGTCGTCAACATCTGTCATTGTGTCCTCTTGTCCCTCTTATTTGGGATGTCTTGTTGGTATGCCAGGTTTTGGTGAACGGGTGAGTTATATTGTACAGAGAGCAGGCCAGGCTGAAGTGCTCACACAACATTCTCTCTGACCCTGTGTCCACTCCCTCTCTTCCTCTGCACCCAAAGACCTAGAAACTATTTCAAGAGTTTGCCCACACATGTTTCTCTTGGCTCACTGCTTATGTATGCATGCACACATACTTTCAGAAGCCCTTGCACACACACTGGCCCTCAACACACCCAGCCCTCGAGCACAAACCTGCCCCTCGCACACACCAGGCCTTCACACACATACCCAGCCCTTACACACACACTGTCCTTCACACAGACAGCTGGCCCTTACACAGTGGCCACACACACAGACACCTGGCCCTCATATGCACACTGGCCCTTAGAGACTCACTGGCCCTCACGTACACACCCAACCCTTGTACAAACCTGTTCAGCCCAGCAAACATCAGGGAAGGAAATGCTAAACAGAGTAAATGTTCCAGACGATTGAACTTTACTCTTTAAGACACCAAAACAGTGTTCTTTTTTAAGCGTTTCTTATGGAAATATTTCTAAAATGTACTGTACACTTTCCTGTTTTCTTAAGCTGAGTTTAATGTATTCAAGGTAATTTGATTTTGCTGGAATGTAATGGTTTCTGCTCTCAGGCTTCCTCACATCTGCTTCTCCCTCTTATGATTTGTGTGTCCTGGACACGCTCAGTCAGTAGAGTTGAGTCGGCCTGTGCAGAGCACACGCTGCAGCACTCCAGCCTGGATGGCCCTCAGGCCACGGGTTTGTTGATATCTGTTCTGAGGTGCAGACTCTCAACGTCCACCTCCAGTCGTGTAACCTGGCTCATTCATCAGAGCCCCTCCCCAAGAGCAAGAACAAGCACCACCCACAGATGATTGGGGAGCTCCCCTGGCAGCAGCTCTGGGGACGGCCTCATGTCTCTGTCTCTCCCTTGTCATGAAGTGCCCAGAGCGCAGGTGACAGCCAGGAAGGGGCTGCATGGGGGCCCCGCATGTGGTCACGCAGGGGTGCGTTGGCATCTGAGAGGCTGTAGCAGTTGTTTCACTTGGCTTACCCAAGGCTTCCTCAACTTACCTGACCTGGGAAGTGGCCTCCCGGCCGGCAGACAACTTCTCTTGGGCAGCTCTTCCCTAGACCAGGCTCTGAGTGGAGAGGGCTGCACAGGGAGTGGGAGTTGGTGGAAAGGTGCCCCCCAAGCTGAGTGTGGGGGCCAGATCCAGTCATGATGGAATCGAAGGGCAGAGAAGGGACCAGGGAGGCCGTGGCTGCCCTGTGAGTGACCAGAGCTGTCTCTAGGACCTCAGTGAGCATCAGCCCCTCTCCTCCTCATGTTGGGCAGTTTTCAGAAGATGAACCAGTGAAGCAGAGGCCAGGAGACTCGACGGGAGCTTGCTGACCACAGCTGGACAAGGGAAGTCCTGCCTTGTGGGTCTGCAGGAGGAATGGGCCTGGATTTGGGCATCGGAGCAGCTGGAGGCCATCTCTTCCTGGGAAATCCAAAATAGGTCGTGAAAGACGTGTCCCCTAGGATTGCATTCCACTTCCTTCCTGCCAGGCTCACAGTTAAGCGTTTGCTTCAAATCTCTATAAGGATGTCACAGCGTGTCTGGCCCCTGGAGGGTGAGTCATGCCCCTGGCTCAAGACCAGCTCCATTCATTCTCATGTACTGGATGTTTGCTTCTGACTCGGGTGTGGTTTGAGTTTTTGGAAATCAAACCACATTGGCATTTTCTGGACAAAATCAGTATTTAGATAATTCCCATCAAGAAGTGAGTGGCCCTGCCTGGCAGGAAAGAGCCAGGTATGTGGAGCGAGGAGAGCAGACAGACATAGGAGGCCCCTGTGGGGCATGGGAGCTCCAGGTGTCTGACCTGCTGCCTCACCACACGACACGGAGATGGGAGCCAAGCTGGCTCAGGTCTTCCTCGAGTCACTGGTTTCCAGACACTGAAGTGACACTGCAGCACACACCTCCCCAGCACTGCGCAGCCTGGCCCTCAGACAGGACACATGGCCTCTCTCCAGGTCCTTATGCACTTCAGGCCCAGAGGATTGGCTTTTGTATTTCAATTTCCTTAGGAAACTATCTGTATGATTAGCTGTTCAGAGTCGTCTCAGATGTAACCATTGTCCATTTAAAAATCCATGTCCCAATTTTTACCTCTTTGGCTTTTAACTGTTATTTGTAGCCTTGTGTTTCTTTTCCAAACAAATGAACCTTATGGTATTTGCCCAGGATATGTTACATCTAAAAATAGCATTAAACATTTTTTAAACTAAAAGCATTCCATCTTTTCATAAAAGTATATTGCACCAAAAATGTAAAAGGGAAATCAGGTATCAATGATACTATTTGAAGAATAACTGAATTGGCACAATTCTGTGATTTTGATGAAGGATGCCCTATTAGTTTCTATTTAAATTTTTAAAAAATAATCCATACAATTAAAATGTATTTGCTGTGGATGATCTCCTTTTCCAAGTGTAAAATGGCGCATGGACCAGCTCTGTCCTCCCGCAGGGCCCCCCCCATTCCCTGTACAGAACTGGGAGTGCCAGGGTGAGGGTTAGGGAAGGGGAAGGCCTCCTGAGAAACTCCCCACGCTCCATGGAAGACCCTAAAATGCAGCATTTAAGGTGCACGTTTCAGAATTTGATGAATGGAACTTATGCCAAATCTAAACTCAGTTGTCCCTCATGTGACATAAGTGACAACCCTCACTTACCAGGTGTTATTTAGGGTTCCCTCGTAGGCACAGGTGTCAGGTCTGCCTAATGCAGGAACGAGCTCTCCCTCAGTCTGCTTCTCTGTGTGATGACGCAAAGGACCAGCACATCATCCCCAACAGGAACTCCTCGCTATGCTGAGGGTTTGCCTGCACCTTCCCTATTTTACTAAGATGACTCACATACCTGGACATAAGACAGGGGGCTTCAAAGTGGACCCTTGAGTGCCAGCCAGTGAAAGTGTCCTGTGTGCCTGATGAATTGACATCTTAAATTTCCAGATCTTCTCTTCCATTTCAGGATCTGGAATCCCATGACACTTATATCCAGAACACACTCTCTGCCCTCTACCCACCTTTTGAGGCCACAGCAGCCACAGTACTCTGGCAGCTGTTCAGCATGGCTGAGAGGCTCCACGGAGGGGACGGGCTGCACTGCCTCACTGATTTCCTCATCCCCGCCGAGAGGGCCCCGCAGCACCTGCAGCAGGAAGCTTGTGTGAGTACCTCCTTTCAGGAGATAGAACCTGTGTAGGGACCTCACTCAGAGCCTGTGTGAGATACTGCCCTCAGGGAACAGAGCCCATGTGAGACCCTCCCCTCAGGGGACACAGCCTGTGTGAGACCCTCCCCTCAGGGAGAGAGAGGGAAAATGTTACCTGGTACCTTGAACTGAGTAAGTATAATTTTAGATTTGACAAATACGCCAGTGAAATAGGCAAAGGAGTGCATGCCTCTGAATTTGAAATTAAACTAGTAATTAAAACAAATATAAAACCAGTGAGCATTGGGTAATTTTTTTGAAAGAAAGCTGTGAGGCTATGATAAAATAAAAATAAATTATAACCTCTGCCATTATTTTATAGAGTTTAGACACATAATGGATATATCTTGCCACTTCTTTCCATTTTGTTGGTCCATATAGGCACTGGCTCAGCTCCTTCCCTCTGGCTTCTGGCTCCTGCTTTCCCTCATGCCAAATGATTGCTGAAATAAGGCCTTTTGTCCCAGAAATGGGGCTTCTCGGGACTGCCAGGGAGTGTAGAAGTTGTTCTGTCTGCAGACATCCACCTGGTTCCCTCCACTGAGTTTGAATGAAGGAATTAGGTCACCCTCCTGAGTAATCATCTCAAAGCCAACTTACCGGATCAGTTCCTACACATACAAATAAACCCTGCTTAATGAATTTCTTGTGTTTAGTTTTGGGATATTTTTATTATACGTTATTTTTGAAGCAAAGTTAAAACTAATTATAGTCAAGTTGTGGGTATATTGCAGTGAGCCACTGGAAACATTCATGGCTAATTCTTAAGAAGGAGCACCTTACTAATCAGCACCTTCTATCACTCCACTGATATTGAATTAGGGCTTAAAAAAAACTACCACTGGGATACTTTGAATTATTAAATTCTTTGAAGGTCTTTTAGCTAGAATGATCGTGGTAGAAATGACCGAAGATGTCCCAGATTTTATTCTTTGTATGAAGTAGTCTACCCAGAGGACATTTTCCTTTGTGATTACGTGTCTTTTGTACATTTAAAGAACGCTGATTGACATAGGAAAGAAGCAAAGAAAGGTCCTCATCAGGAGAGAGAAACAGCAGCACAGGGAACCAATCTGCTCTAAGTCGGATCTCAAAATACCCGTTTCCTTTCAAAGTGTTTCTTGGAAAGCTATTCTGATCTAATATTTTGCCTTCTTTCTTCTATTAAGTTTCTTTTTCCTTCCATTTTAACCATGAGTCATCCCCCTTCCCACTACAAAATTGCTTATCTTCTGAGAAAGCCAAATGAATAATATTACTCTTTAATATGGATACATATTTATGAGTATTTAATTTGATAAGCACAAAGAGAAATTTAGGGACAGTCTTACTATTTGCATATTTATATTTCTTTTTACTTTTTAATAAAATAAAACTTGATCATGTATGACATAGGAGAAAATGAACTTATCTTGAGAGCTATGAATATAAACATATTTTAGTTAATATAAATTTAATGAAGTTTTTATTCATTTAATCACTATTGTAGAAGTATATGGTTTGGAGATCATTATTAATCATATTAATTTTAAGATAAATTGTCATGTTAAGTTAAAATTTCAACCACCACCGTTCACCCATCCCTCCACAGATACAAGAAGAGCTTAAAATCACTCATTGGCTTATTTGTAACTTTGTTTCATCACAGTTTGTGTCTGAAAATGTCTGGAGAAGTTTAAAGAAAGTAATCACCAAAGATATAAAAATAAAATGTTTCTACAAAGCAGGGAAAGCAGGGGGAAGGGGATGAAATAAAGAGTGAAATCAAATGGAATCAGAAAGAGGGGAGTAAAGGGAACACAGACACGAAAAAGAAAAAGCACGACATATAGAATAACAGTTACTAAAAATGGTAGACCAGCCAAATTCTAACCAAAGGATAACTGGTGTAGCAATGTTCATAACATACTAAATACAGTAAAGAACAAAATGCATTGTTAGAGCTAAAGAGGATCATTCAATAAGAAAACCAGTAATAACCAGGAACACATAACAATCTGTAGCACCTAACAACAACAGAGCCTGAAAATGTTTAAAACATAGAGTAATTCATAACTAGAGTGGGAGATTTTACCTCTCTCCAATGCAAACAGGATAAGCAGACCACTTCTTACTTAGGATATACGTCTGAACACGTGATATCTCTCCTCCACTAAAGGACGTGCATAGAGTCCTTTTAGAATACAACAATTTTAGAATACACATCTTTCTCAAGCACACATGGCGCACTGTCCAAAATTTGATAAAATTCTGGTCAAATTTTACAATTAGAGGATATACATTTATCTCAAAAATGTATACAATCAGAGAATGTTAGAGAACATACATTCTTCTTAAGTGTATGTGTATGTGCACAGAGTTTATTGACACCCCACCTTCCAAGGAAACTGGGCCTGGGCCCCACACAAAGAGATGTGTCTGGGCTCGGGGCCAAAATTGGCCACTTTGGCCTTGACTCTAAGGCACAAGTTACAAAAAATATGTCCTGCATCATGTTCCTTGTCTGGGCTGGCCACCCCGATGGGCACATGACAGGACTTTAGAAACATCCCATCTGTGGGAACAAAAAAGATAAAAACACCACATCCGTGGGAACAAGAAGAAATAACTCAAAGTATCCAAATGTCTGAAACCCTGAGTCAGAACCCAGAGAAACCTTAGGATAAAAGGGAGTCACAGGCATAGAATAATTGGAAGTCTTGCTGAGGAAAGGACGCTTTGCCTCAAACCCGGACAATCAGCACTCCCACCCGCCGTACAAACTATTGGGACTTCCCCAGCTGACGGTGGTGTGGATGTTGTAAGTACTGATTTGTTGTTCCCCTTTATCCCTGCTCCTTGTTCTGTTTCCCTTTATCAATAAACTTTGATTGCTTAAACAACCAAGTAGCCTTGGCAGTACTTGTCATTCCTTGCCCATTGCAGCTGTGGGCAACAGTACATTTATCAAAATTGACAAAAATTGACCATTAGCCATAAAGTGTAAACAAATACCAAAGAATTGATATCTAAAGACTGCAATGCAATAAAACTAGAAATCAATTTTAAAAAACCTTGTATTTTGAAAATTGCAAATGTACATCTAAATAGAGAAGGGGTCATGCAGAGAACCATAAAGGAAATTGGCAAAACATTTAGAGCTGATGAACGGGTGAGTCCTATTTCCAGTTAGGATGGAGAAGGGTATAAAAGACCTCTACATTTGCCAAAACAACAAGAAATTCCTAGATAAACCAAAACAATTACACTTTCCTTTAAAGCCATCCAAGAGCTGTGGATACAGAAAGATCTAAAGAACTAAACTATGATGAAACAATGCCTTCCTGAGGGAGCAAAGAACAGAAGACACTTTCATACCTGGGGCCAGTCACTGACGTTGTGGAGAGGATGGATGGAGGAGCAAGCTGCCAGAGAAGGACCATCTATGCTCAGATAAGGAGAAATTGAATTCAAGAAACTTCAGGGCTGACTTATCAGATTAGAATGTGAAAGAGCCTTGAATGTGAAGATAATCTTCTCTACTAATCCTAAGCAATTGTCTTATGGGGAATTCTGCTGAGTAAGTGGAGACTGGGAGGTGGAGACAGAAAGCAAAAGATCTCAAAATCTTATAGTCACACAGTTTCAAAGTGTCATGAGCTCCAACTCTCATGGTCTCGTGGTCTCACAGTCATAAAACTTTAGTCTCATAGTTTCAACATCTCTCAGTTTCAAAGTCCGGCAGTGATTGGTACCAGGCTCCCCTGGATGGAGAGTTGTGAACTCACCATCAAAGCATTTAAAACCAGAGGTAAACTGAAATTAACCAAAACTGAACCAAACCCCACCCAATTCAAATTTTATAAGATATCTCAAGTGGCCAAGATAGTCAGGGGCTGAGCTGGAAAGTGGTGAGATATCTCCCTGGACTCTTGGAGCTTGAATTCTAAGGCTCTGATAGAGCTTAAGTCACAACTCACCCCAACCAGCTCTATTTCTAAATGCATTAAACTGATAAACAACTCATCCTAGCTGCCTAACAGAGGAAAGAGCATTTCCTCCTTAAAAGAAAAAAAAGAATTATCCACTTGAGACAAAACTCTGGCATGAAATTTAAAAATTGTGAGATGTGCAAAGGGACTAGATTATCAACCATAAACATGAGAAAAATTTGTCCATAGAAATAGACTCATAGACTACCCAGGTTTGGAGTTATCAGGCAAAGACTTTAAAAACTATGATAAACATATGGATGAAATAGACGAAGAGATAGAGAATGTCAGAAAAGATTTGAAAACTATAAAAAAAGAACAAAATGGAAATCTTTGGGATTAATGTAGTTTGGACACAACAAAAGAAAGGATACATGAATTTGAAGACATGCCAAAAGAAATCAAGAAAACGGAAGCACAGAGAGAAAAGAGAGTAGGGGGAAAATAAGCAAAGCCTCCAAACCTGTGGGAGTGTTGAGCAGTTAAACATATGCCTAATTGGATTTCCAGAAGAAGAGGAGTGAGAAAATAGGGCAGAAGACATATTTGAAGAAATACTATTGGAAATTTTTCTAATTTGTTAAAAACAGCAACCCATAGACCCAGGAAGCTCATCAAACTCAGAACAGAATAAATGAAAACAAAATAACAGACACATTGTAATTAAAATGCTGAAAACCAGTCATAAAGAGAAAATCTTAAAAGCTAACAGAGAAAAAAGGCACTTTACACACAGAGGCAGCAGTAAGAATGACGGGTGACCCTTCTTCAGAAGCATTGGACTTCAGGAGACGATGGAAAAACATCTCTAAAATATTTTTAAAAATCAAATGAAAATTCTATATCCAGCAAAAATATCTTTCAAACATAAAGATGAAATAATGGCATTTTCAGGTAAGCACAAGAATAGGCTAGCAGAGGTGTGACACAAGAAATGCTAAAAGGAGGTCTTTGGGCTGAGGGAGATGGCACCAGGTAGACGCT